GGGGGCCCCCCCCCCCTCCCCGGTGAGTGCACAAATTTTTGTGCACCGGGCCTCTAGTCTATATATATAAAAGCCTAAGTGCCTGGCCAGTAGCTATGACGTGCACTGACCACCAGGGGGCAGATGCTAAACGCAGGAGCTGTCGAGCTGTGATGACTTGGCAGCTGCAATTCTCGGGTGACATACCCAGAACCAGAGAGGAAGGAGCCTGATTCTGGGGTGCGTCACCCGAGAACTGCCCTCTCGCAATCGGGGACCCCTCAGGGGATGTCAGAGAGCCAGTTTCGGCCCGATCCTCACAGGCCAGGCCGAGGGACCCCAGGGCATCTAGTAAAATAAATGAGAAATAAATATGTGAAACACTAAGAAGCATACAGGAGGGCATGTCTTCGTGACAAGTTCAACTGCATGATATACAGATACACTCTTGCTCATAGTAACCCACACAGTGCATTGCCCTCTATCTCTTCAAACAAATAACCCAATATATTCAGGGTTGTTTTAGGGTCGGCTGTATGTAATTATGTTCTGTGGAAATGACCAGAAGAACCCACTTTTCAGACTACTTTATTCCCCAATCAGCAGGACCAAAGGGAGTTTTCTATATGTGCTCCTTGGGGCTGCTTACCATGATGTAGGACTTAAGTGATTATACCGTGAATACATAGAAACACAAAGGATATTTTCCTGTTTTCTATGTTTCTTGCAAATGTCCTTTGATTTTACTCACGGTTCAAATAAATTCATGAGATGAATACTATTTTTGATTGCTTATATGGTTTATTTTTCATACCAATGCAGTGTGATGACTTCATTGATATTACATTACATAGGTCATGTGATTCAATCCAAGAAGATTTTACATTAATTATTTTAAAACTAAATTTTCAATGAATGTGTATGAATTCTGATATAAAACATTTAATAATTTAACCATAGCAAGTATTAGTTCATATACTAATGTGAGGGACACATTTCCATTGTGTGACGGGTATAGTTAAAGCACTGTTGAGACAGAGGACTGACTCAGCGAGTTGTACTCTGTGATTGATTAGGTTCCTCATCCCCAGATATTTCTGACTATTTTGGAAATAGAGCTCTTTTCCAACCTTAGCGGTATTTCATATGTGTTCTGCTTGGACAGAGTACCTCCTATTTAAGAGTTAAGACTAATTTTTTTTTTGCAAGTTACAAATCTTGGTGTCAGTTAGAATTACCCACTTGCAGTGAGCTGTAAATTTGGTTGCTTTGAATGCTTTAACTGTTTTAAAATTCTGATTTTTATTAGTGCACTGATGTCGCTCTCATATATTTTCAGGGTGAAAAAGGTTCTGAAGGTCCAATTGGCCCACAAGGACTACAAGGCCTGTCAATCAAAGGGGACAAGGTAATACATATAGGATATAGGATGGAAGAGAGCCAGTAAAATTGTTTTTAAAAATGTTTGTTATGTATGTAGATTTATAAACTGTATACAACCTGACAACCACACCACACAGGTGTCAACTTAGTTGTAAATCAAGTATATGCAAGGTATATTATTGTAGAGATGAATTATTATCTGGAAATTCCCATGTTATATATTTATAGTAATGTCTCATTTATTTGGGTTCTGACTTCCAGTATCCCTATCGTCAGCCAAGCAGCTTTGAAGCCAAACATTAGCAGAATAGACCTCTACTTAGTTAAGAAAATAGCTGTTGAAACATGACTTGACCTCATTACAGAAGCGATATCCAACCTTAGGCTCCCACTAAAAAATATTACTTTAAAAGGAGGCTGAAAGAAAACTCATTTAAGAAAACTAGCATTGATGTTCTCCAGCAAGGATCAACAGGAATCCACCTATAATTGAACAAATTTAGGTTTATTGATTCTGCTGTGAAAGAGGCCACACTGCATTGGGAACCTATCACAACTCAGTAAGATGAGAGATTTTTTTTTCATAGAATTTGGGTTTATATATTAGGTGGCTTGGGCGAGTGTCTAAGAAAGTATGAATTGGCTCTGAACTGGATGCTCTCAGGAAGTGGGGGTAATTTTAAGTTTGGGCATTTTAATGAATCTTACCTAGGAGGAGAGAAAGATGGAGCCAGGCTAGTTGCAATTGGTAAAGAAGTAGCAGTTATTTGTTTCAGTCGGTATAGGTCTAGGACAGTGATGGCGAACCTTTTGAGCTCGGCGTGTCAGCATTTTGAAAAACCCTAACTTAACTCTGGTGCCGTGTCACATATAGAAATTTTTTGATATTTGCAACCATAGTAAAACAAAAACTTATATTTTTGATATTTATTTTATATATTTAAATGCCATTTAACAAAGAAAAATCAACCAAAAAAATGAGTTCGCGTGTCACTTCTGACACGTGTGTCATAGGTTCGCCATCACTGGCTAGGAGGATGTTTGATCTCTTTTGAGAAATATGGACATTGTTTTGTTTCTGTCTATGCTCAGACATGACTATGGAGAGGTTTTGCTTCACCACAGAGAATGGCTATGTCTGACACTGGTGTTCTGGAAAATCATGTTCAACCCTGCGGCCTACCTGCCATTGCCTTCTTCTCACTAGTTACTTGTCTTCTTTAAAATAGCTACAAATTATATCCAGATTAGAAGTAGGGATGAGGCCAGTGATAGAAGCTACTGGAGGCTGATAATGTCCTAAATACAGTGGGAAGGGAATGATGCCAGAGAATGGGAAATATAAAAATACACAAAAAAACAGAGACCTCATGTCAATTTGGAGTCATTTATATGTCAACCTCTAAGCATATCATTATATTATATATTATATTAGAATAATGATTGATATTCAAGATTACCTTAAGTGTGTTTCAATCTTGAAGTACTTATTTCTTTTATTTACTGGTAGCCATCTCTTCCGGGAATCTGTGTTTAAATAGCAGAGATAGTGGGAAATAGTGAGTTATACAAATTTTAGATGCAGTACAACTCTTGGTTGTAACTTCAGCTCCAAAATACTTTAAAAATATGTAAGATGTGCTTTCTTCCTTTGGAGCAGTGAAAATTGAGTACAATAGAATCATGTTTTAGGAGTTCAGTAAATTAACTTTTTTAGGTTTCATTGACATTGCATTTTTATTTTTACACCTGGAGTTCATGCAAAGAAAACACATGGAAATATCAGGACATTATCACAGAGTAATTGCAAAGCCATCATCTGCTATTCTCTTACCAAATCAAACCGTCTTCCTTTTCTCTTCCCTTTCTTCCTTTTCTATCCTTTTATATATATTAGATTCAGAGACTTGGTGCCTCTGTTTCAAGTGATAAGATAAACACCTCTATGTTAAGGGCTCTCAAATACATAAATTGATACAAAACAAGGAAGTAGTTTTGATATAGATTTTAAGTGTCTATAGCAATGCACAGAAGAGGATCTCTCTTTTGGGTATACTGAATATTTGCAGAATAGTGGTTATGAGTTGGGTTTTGTAGTCAGAGAGAGTAGACTTGAATCTTGCGACTGAATGGGGTGTACTTAACCTCATCAGGAAAATGGGGATGTCTACCTTCAGAGGGTTGTTGTGAGGATTAAATGAGATACAGAATGAAAAGCATTTAGCGCAATGCCTGCCACATGACAGGCAATCAAGTTATGAATCAGAATAATCCAGTTCTGAATTAGAACTGAACTCCATTACATTTTCCTTCCTTGATACTTATTTAGACTGGGATTTATACAGAGTGAAACACTGAGAAGCATATCCCAGGGCATGTTTTAGCGACAGGTTCAACGGACTTTGTAAAAGTATAAACAGTATAATCTAATGATGTACTTTTGTTCATAAAAATGTATTTATTTATCCCAGCATTGGCCAAATAAATGTGGGGCTGGCTGCCTGTTTTTGTAAATAAAGTATTATTAGAACACAGGTACACCTGATCATTTATGTGTCGTCTATGGCTGCTTTCACACTAACCAAGCAGCATTCATTAGTCACGAAAGAGACCTTATTATGCCTTCACACATAAAATATTTGTTGAAAGACACAAAGGATAGATAAATGATATTCTTCTTAATGATAGCATTTATTTTGTTTCCCAAATTTATTTCATGGAGGGGAGAGGTAATGTTCTTTAATTTTGTTGTGTTTAACTTAGAGAATTTCTTAATTTTCAAAATGCATTTTAAAAGGATTAGGAGGGAAAAGGTATTTAGAGAATTTTACAATATTTTGCTTCAATTTATTTCTCAAATCCTGTTTTCCTTGGACTCTATGAATTTTATACTTTTAAACATTTCTGTTATGAGCCTAACAGAAAGTGTGTCATTATAATAACCATTCAGGAACTTTTGATTTTTATGAGAAAAAATGACTGAGAAATATAAACTGGTGCAAATTCTCACCAATTCAGACTAAATAGTAAAACATAATTAACTATTTTGGCAAGTTTGAACTAAACTGTTTAAAAGGAGTTTGCTAACTTTCCATGTTGAACTTTTTTAAGGATATAAAAATAGATTTGAATCCAACGTAATTCCAGATTAGCAAAGTATGAAAGAATTAAGTTTCATTTTATTGTTATATTTCTGATTTATTTTCTATACAGGGGGACTTGGGACCTGTGGGACCCCAAGGACCAATGGGCATCCCCGGAGTTGGGAGTCAAGGGGAACAGGTAATCAATGCTCTTGCCCTTTCCTGGCCCAATGCTGGAGTTCATCGAAGGCCAGTCCTGCAAACACCAATGAGTGTACTTGATAGTTAAATTGCAATGAAATTCACACCCAAAGTGAATATAGGAAAGGATAAGATGGTTTGTGAGATCTTATTTATTAGAACTTCCAAAACTTAAAAAATAGTGAATTTCTTGATGCTGTAACTTTTAACCTTAAAACCTAATTAATAGGATAGGAGTTTTTGGATAATAGTTTGTATTTTTAGTATCCCTCGGGAGCAATAGTTTATTTACCTGTTGCTTTGTGTGTTTATTCCCCACCCCCTTGCAGCTTTGTGAGTGATTAAATTGCACTCTCTCTTAATGCCAGTATGTAGTACTTCCACCCCCTAGCCATGAACCAATCTGAAAAATGTTAAATTTAAAACAAGGTCCAGAATCAGAGGTAACTACTTGACTTTAAGGGGCACCATTCCTGAATAGACACAAGCCACAGAGTTTATAAATGACACTTGGCCCCTGTTGGTCAGAATAAAGAAAAGATCTCTTAGCTTGTCTTTACGTTCATGACTGAAATTGCTTCCAAAATCTTCTGACCAGAACTACTGGGAAAGCTGGATAATCTTGTTAGATCTGAATAATATGAAGATAATATAACAGTCCTATCTAGAGTTGTTGTTGACCATATGCTTTTACCTACATCATCTCATTGAATTAAGTAACCAATATATCCAAATTTATGCTGAACACCCTTCTGCTTAAAAAATGGCAAATCAGTTTGGTTAAAATTTAGAGTTAAGGTTTGAATTATTCTACTACCTAGAGAATGAATAGTGCTTCTTTTATCTAAGATAGTGGGAGAAGAAAAGGATTTTAAAAATGAGATAATTCCAAAGCTTCTTGTTGACATTAATTCTGAGTTATTTCTGACTGTCTTCTAATTATTGAGTTTATGTTTATTGTTGCTAATCCAAGCAACAGCAAAGTTGGACTTACTCCTTTTTCCATTTCCTTTTCCTTGGTAGAGGTCCTAGTGTAGTACATTAGGAGGGTTAAGGTGCAAGAGAAGCCAAGATAAATCTATAAATAAATGCTTAGAAAATATTTAAGAGCTGTACATTTTGACTACATAGGGGTTGACTGTGTGACCAGGCATTTTCAGGCTTTGTAGTTTATTTGTTTACCTTCTAATCCCAGAAGTGGCTGGACAGTGCTGCCACATCCTGGGTCTCGTGGTGCTCCTGGTGCTGAGTCACCACCATCAGGCTGAAAAATGAGGTTCAAAGAAAGCCAAGTCTTTCCAGATGGCCTGGGAGTTCTGGACCTCCCACCTGCAGCTTCCTGGTGCCTTTAATATTGGTTCTTCCTGGAGGTTGTTTTCCTTTATCTTAAAAAAGCCCTCAGACCTCCTCGACCTCTTTGGTTTTCTCATCCCCTTCTGTTCTTTTCCAATAGAAAACAATTTTTAAGGTAGAAAGGTCCACATGGAGCTAAGCCCTACTGGGTAGGAGATGGAATAGAATGTGCTCTTTGTTAATTACTCTGAGCAAGAAACAAATTTGTTTCCTTTGATCTAAACTCTACTTAAATTTAATCTTAATTCATGCCGTTATTCATTTTTCTTCTTATCCTTAATTTAACATGTTTATCCATTGAATTCCTATAATTATTAGATCTTTCTATTTTTCCTATAGAAATTAATTGTCCCATTCATCTGTTTATGAGGGAACTTCTGTTTCCATTTCCAGCAACTAGCATATAATATCCCTCAAGTGGCCTGCAGATTTTCATTAAATATTTGCAGACTTGACAATATCAAATTTTTATAAAACAGAGTAGAATCTAAATAACCATATATACATGTGTATGCACATATAGGCACATCCCTTGGAAATTTTTTGGTTCTTTGTCCCATTGCATGCTACTTGTGGACTACTGAAAAAGTTAAGAAGAATTCCTTCTTATAAAGGCTGAATATCTTAAAACTTGGCTTTCTTAAATTGTTTAGACTGCTTCATCTTCATCAACCAGAGAAAGGGAATATTAATTGTACTTTTTAAAATGAGAAAGCAGTTGTATGATATAGTTAGAGAAAGGACATAACATTTTCAATAAAATAATCATATTTCTGTAACCATTATATGCACTGTCATGGTTTGTGGGGTGCAAGCAAAACAAAATCTTAGTTTTTTTTTCCTCTCATCATCCCTTTAAACTTTTTTTCATTAGGGGAAGATTTTTCTTTGTTGTACCACAGAAAGAAATTATCACCAGGCTATAGACTTTTCTTATTACTTTTAAGTTAATAGAAAGTTTTAGGGTCACTCTAAGTTACAAATCAGTTTTAATTGTAAAATAAAAATTATCTAGTCAATATATAAATCTTCCTTTCAATCTTTTCTCATCTGGTCTGAGCTGCATGGAGACCCTGTGGTCCATGGGAAGGTATCTGCTTCTCCTCCCTCCCGGCTGAGTCAAGGCTGGAGGAGAGGTTCAGTACAGAAATTCTTTCTTGACTGCTCCATTGTCAGATGGCTTTGGGTCCTCTGGTCTTGGCAGATTTTGATTTTGACACCCTTTCCTGTGGGGATCCGGCACTGGCCCTTGCTTTTGCTCCTCCTAGGACATGGATGAAGGACTCTCTTCCTCCAGGATTTCTCCCATCAGCCTCTGCTTTTCTGGAGGTTTACTCTATATCGACTCTTTCTGTTGGAGTTCCATTACTCTTTCAGACCCTTTTGGTCAGGACTCAAAACAGCTCCAGGTCTACTCTGGTCCACAGAAAAAACTCACATGGCCTTTGCACAAGGCCTGATGCTCAGGCTGATCCCACACCAGCTCTTTCTGGACTATCACAGTCCACTTTAGCTTTCTTAGACATGAGTCAGACGCTGGCCCTTGTGAGTAAAATAGGTGAAGGGATTAAGCAAAACAAAACAAAACTCATAGATACAGACAATAGTATGGTGATTACCAGAGAGAAAGGGGGGCTGAAAAAAGGGGGAGGGGGAAGGTAGAAGAGAGTAAAGGGGGGATAAATGGTGATGTAAGGAGACTTGACTTTGGGTGGTGAACACATAATAGAATATACAGATGATGTATTATAAAATTGTAACTCATAGAACTTTATAAACCAATATATTCAATCAAAAGAGGGCTCTTAAAAAATAAAATTCAGTCACTTTTTTTTGTTTGTTTAAAAAAATATCAAGATCTTCAAGTGGTTACCCCCTTTCTCGAATTGGGTACCGAACAAAGCAACTTAAACCCCTTTCATCTTCTCCAAAGAAAAAATTTCATGACTCCTTTCTCCAAGGAACTTTATAAATGCTGTCTCCTTCCCCCTTTTATACCTACAACATGAGGGAGAGTCAGATGTTTGAACATGTATCAGTTTAGTGTCTGCTGCCTATCGCTTCTTACAACCTAGGTCAAACCTTCATTTTAACATCTTGATATATACCAATTGGTACAGCTGGTTTGCTAGCATGTGACTGAGGTGTGAAATGGGTTAACACGATGAAGAGTTATTGCTCTTCTTTAGAACTCAAGCTGGCGTGGTGGCTCTGCTCATCAGGGCTTCAGGCTTCTTCATTATTGTCCGCCTGCCATCCTGAGGGTGCGCTTTCTTCCTCCATGGGAAAAACACCATGTCTTCACTTCATCCACTGGAAAACGGGTGTAGGGGAGGAGGAGGCATGCTTCTACTTTTAGCATGGACCGGAAATTACACACACTCCTTCCATTCCCGTTCCATTGGCCAGAACCCAGTCACATGGCAACACCTGGCTGCCACAGGGACTAGGAAATACGGTCTTTATTCCAGGCAGCCATGTGGGCCAGATGAAATTTCTCTTACCATGGGAGAAGGGAGAATGCATTTCATGATTCACCTAGCAGCCTCTGCTATCCCATTCAACTAATATTGACTATTAGTAATTCATTATGGGACATGAACTAAACTCACTTTAGAGGATTGGAAACTCTTACCCACATTTCTTTAATTTCACTAATACTATTACATTTTTTATTTTTATTTTAAAGGGAATCCAAGGCCCTATTGGTCCCCCTGGTCCTCAAGGACCCCCAGGACAGGGCTCACCTGGTTCCAAGGTAACTTTCTCAATGAGAAAGGAGTTTCATATGTCTATAAATATACTGGCTGTTTTTGGGGCAGTGGGCAGGCATTTGGAAGGCAGCAGATGAAATGCACTTAAAAATCAGAGATCTCTACTTAATGTAAAATCTTACTGATAATCCTAGTGGTGTAGAAAATGTAATATATATTCCTTATGCTCTTAGAAGCTTTATTTAAACAATCTTCATTTATTGTTTTCTTTGTTACTTTTACTTATAAGACCCTATTCTAGCATCTCAAGCAGTAAAATCAGTAGGAACTACCTGTGGTTACATGCCTCTTTGGACTGACTCATTTTTATTCTCACCAGCACTTCCACAGTAGGTCCAACCGCTAAAACAGTTAGTTAAAGATATGGAGTCAGAAATGACCCAACAAATAAACATTTTCTATAAACAGGAATCAAATTATCTCCTAAATTAGAACTATTATTTATCCCTTGGGGAAAGGTATGACACCTATTTCTAATTAGCTGTCCTTAATGTTGCTTCAAAAAATCATTAATCATTGTTAAATAAATAAAATACTTCTCTGAGAGGTCTCACCTTCAAGCCCACTCCTTAGCAATGCCCATGTGAGAAGCAGCTCAATAGAATGCTGTTACTGTCCTTGAGATGCCTGATTCGGGGCACATCATCGGAAGCTCAGGTTGTTCTCTCTGGTTATGATACTGCTTTTGATCATCGGTCATCTTGACTTTTCATGTGTCAATTTTAGTTGTTCTAGAATATAACTATCATTTCCAGGGACTCTTTATGGGGGGGGGGTGAGGGTCCTTATAATCAATTTTGAGTATGATACATAGCCTATACTTTAGGCCAGATCTTTCCACAGTCCAAATGTGGTGGGGTAAAGTATATATATGAATTGAGCACATGAAGCTCAGTGTTCTCTTATTTTGTTGATATAAGACAACTCTTAGGAGACCAAAGAAGGAGTATGTTGTTTTTATTTTGCTGCCTTAGTCAAATACTCTTCAAATATTCTTTCCTTATTAGGGAGAAGTAGGCCTGCTAGGACCTCCAGGCCCTAGAGGACCAGTGGGGATTGGAGTACAAGGTCCAAAGGTGAGTTGACCATGCTGCTCAGAAGCATTTAGATGATTTATGTGATATTATGTAAAGTTTCATTTATATCCAAATGAAATACAGATCATGCATGTGTCATCTAACTGTTCCTTTCTTTACCAGTGTAGAGTGTTTATTCAGAAAAGGGTCTGATGCTCAGTATAACTTTTATTGTTAAAGAAAAACCAAAATAGGTTTATTGTAATGACTGCTGCTTGTTTTATTTATTTACTTATTCATTTATTAGCAGCACAGAATCTATTTTGGCACAGAGTGATTCTTTAGAACATTATTGCCTGCCATATTATAAAACAAAGCACCTAGTAGTTAGGATTTCAGTAAAGGCTACTTCCCTTCCTTTGTTTTATGATTTCCTAAGCATCCATTCCCTAAATCTAACATATGTTCGCCCACTTCTGTTACCCAGTAATTTTATATGTCAACATGCTATTTGTTTCCCTTGCTTTTACGTAACTCTTATCTCAACTTGCATGTTTTTTGAATTTAAGGTGACCCTTGAACAATGTGAAACATAAGGGTGTGGACTCCCTCCAACAACTTTTGACTTCCCCTAAAGCAAGTTGTCCCTTGGTATCTGTGGGGGTAATGGTTCCAAGACCTCCATAGACATCAAATTTTTGGAGATTTAAGTGCCTTACATAAAATAACATAGAAGAATGCATACAGTTAGCTGTCCACATACATGGATTACCAATCATAGAATAATTTCACTGTACTTTTTTTCAGTAGCTTTTTTAGTTTAGTTTAGTTGAAATGCTCCTCAATTATCTTGAATATATTTTGCTTGTAATAAATGTAGTAAGGACACTTTTATACTGTTTGAAATGGCATGTGTTTTCTCTGAATATATTAAAAAACTTATTCTTAATCATAAATTAACTTGAAAGCAAGTAGAATTGTTGAGCATTAGAGCTGGAAGTGATGTTAAGTTCCCAATTTTTTCATGTCACTTTTATATTCGTTTCTCAGGATTACTGTAACAAAGTACCACAAACTGTGTGGCTTAAAACAATAGGATTTATTGTCTCATAGTTCTGGGGACTAGAAAAAAAAATCAAAGTGTGTGCAGAGCCATCTTTCCTCCAAAACCTGTAGGGAAGAATCCTTCTTTGCTTCTTCTTAGCTTGTGGTGGCCAACCCTTGGCATCCCTTGGCTTGTAGCTACATCACTCTAATCTTTGCCGCTGTTGCCACACGGTATTCTCCCTATGTGTCTTAACTTCACATGGTGTTTTCCTCTTTTTATAAGGACACCAGTCATACTGGATTAGGGCCCACGCTAATGACCTCATCTTAACTTGATCACATCTGGAAAGACCCTATTTCTGAAAAAGGTCACATTCACAAGTATCACGGGTTAGGACTTTAATGTATCTTTTTGGGGGTCAATTAAACCAATAACAAACAAAATAATCCAAAACTGAGACCCAGAGAGGTTAAGTAATTTGCCCAAGGTCAAATAGTTTGATTATTAGTAATTACTATTTAGATATCTCAGCTTAGAGGCTTTTCTCAGACACTATAAGATATATCTAATTGCAGGTACTGCAAAATGGGAGTGCATGATAAACATGAACTCCTGGGAAATAAAATCTTTGCTTATCCACCAGGGGGAGCCAGGCTCAACAGGGCTCCCAGGACTGCCAGGCGTGCCAGGGGAAGATGGAGCTGCTGGGAAGAAGGTAACTACGTTTCCATATTCCCTGGGGTAAAAACTACTGAACCACACTATACCTTGGTCCTGCAGGACCTCAAATTAAACCATCCAGGACAAACTTAGTCCTAAAAAACAACAACAAGCCACAAGTCTAAATTTCCTTGTTCACTGACTCCAGAGAGAAAGAGAGCACGAAGCCAAAAGAAAAGTAGTGTTTCACACCTTCTGCCTTCTCTCAGTGTTTTGGACATGGCATTCTCCAATGACCTAGTCTTTCTGGGATTCCTAGAAAGCACTTTCATTTAAACTTAGAGAAGAACACCTTTTTTCCCCCCTATAAAAGAAGCATCTGCAAATGTATTCAGGAAGTAAGGCCATTATAAAGATTTCCTAAAGCACTTTGAGTAGACATGTGAAATACTCATTTTTCAATATAAATAGTGAAAAACAGCAGATGGGAAGGCTGAAGATCTTTCTTGTTTTCTTAAAAAAACACAAACCACCAAATGTGAATGATGAGGCAAAAGAAATTAGCGAATAAATTGGCCTTTTTCATGATATTTCCAACTGCTTTGAGCTAAACTAGAGTTTGATATTAATTTATTCAAGTTGGTAAATTTGCAAATTAATTTTGAGAGTAGAGTTAAGGTCAGGCCTGCTTTGGAGGGTCTCAGCAGAGAACCCACTGGCCATGAGAAGAGACAAGGTGGGCTGATATATACTGTCTACAAAGGGTCAGCTAAGACATCAGTATCATTTCCTCCAGGGAGAAGCGGGGCTTCCAGGAACAAGAGGCCCAGAGGGAGCACCTGGAAAAGGACAACCTGGCTCCAAGGTATGGAACTGACAGTGCCGGGGAAGCAGACTGCCTGTGTTCTGGTCCTGACACTAAGGAGCCAACTGAGGAAAAACCTGATTGTTATTCTTGCTCTGTCAAATGTGTTTACTTCTGGCTTAAAGTTATGGATATTAGCCTGTGAGCTCTGGAAGAAAGCAAGTATGTATTATTCATTTTTATTTCCTAACATCTATTATAAGACCCAGCTTATATAAAGAGTTCAACACAGGTTTTTCTTAATAAATAGCCAGACTGAATTTAAAAACACATAGGAAGGGAAAAGTAGGCTTGAGATACACCCTTGAGACCTGAAAGCCCATAAATTTTCTTTATTTATGGAGTTTCACACAGTAATAAGAAATATCACCTTATTAAGTGGCAATTTTAGTTTCACAACACGGAATAAATTTATTTCACACATTGTAGAAATGCTAGTGAATGCCATCTTTATATGTCATGACAAGAATATCTAAATTCATCAGTAGGACCATTAGTGGCATAACCCACAGCTCCAAGGTGCCAGATGTCCCTGCAGTTTTTATGTAGAGTCACCAATGCCCATATAAAGCTTTTGAAGAATTCAATATGAGGGAAGTACAGTGGGGCCTTGACTTATGAGTTTAATTCCTTCCGTGACGGAGCTCGTAACTCAAATTGCTCGTATGTCAAATCATTAAAGTGAACGAGTGAGACACGTGATGCTGGGCTGATGTTGTGGCGTTCACTGTGACGTTCGCTGCGCCAACTAGCAGTGGGGTATCTGAAGCTGGCTCGTAACCCGAATTTTAGCTCGCAACTCAAAGCAAAAAATTGGCGGAGAGACGGCTCATTTCTCGAAAAACTCGTTAGTCGGGACACTCGTAAGTCAAGGCTCCACTGTAAAAGTAAAATCTGTACACTTGTTAGTACTCTATTTATAATTGTATTAAAATAGTAAATGATTGCTTAAGAAGTTTATGTCTTGAAAAAATACTGGCTAAAATTGAGTCCTTACCCTTAAATGTGAGAATTTGAAATTTAAATATATTTGTAGAATTTCAAACAATTTTATTTATTGACTTACCAGATTATAAGATCTTTGGGGGAGAGGGGAAAGGAGATGTGGACAGAGAATATCTTTTTAATTAACATCATTCAAAAATACTTATAGAAATTCTTGCCTACTAACATTCAAGAGAACTAATGTATTCTAGAATGCACTTTTGGAACATAGACCTTTGAATTAATAACTGAAGCTGTAAGAATGAATGATATCTGTGAGAAACAGAGCTGAGGTTTGAATTTCATGCTGTACAGTAGCTGGAGAAAGAATATTGAGAGCAGGACAAAGATAAGCAGAAGAGTTACCATGTTAGGGAAACCAAGGAAAAAGGGTTTCAAAGGGTGGCACATGCCACCCCCCAAGCAAGGAGAAGGTGCATTGGAAAGAGAGGCCACTGGATTTGTGGCGTTGAGGTGATCTGTGGCTTATGGAAGGCTATAGGAGAAGAAATGCTGGGAGGTTTCTGAATGAAGATGAAACAGTTCTTCTGGGGGAGCGACAGTGGGCAACCAGGCTGGGGAACAGTAGTAGCCAGTTTCTAGCTCTGCTCCAGGTTCATGCCCACATATCTTTCTACCAACAGAATTATCAGTCTCTTTTGGGAGAAAGAACTATACTCCCTATGGAGGAGTAAATGGGGCTGAATTTGGAAAATATCTCATTTTATGTTTTAAAGCTGAAATAGCATGGAAGCTGAAGAACCACCTGTTAATAGGCCAAGGGTGCAAAAGAACTGTGAATTCAAACAAAGGTCCCCAAAGAAGGACACTGAACTTAGATTTTTTTATTAAATCATATTGAATAAATGGTGAAGACTGAACAATTCTGAAGTACCCAATACGATCAAGAACATCAACAAAACCTGTGTGACTGAGCTGGGCTTGGGGCACATCACTTTAACATTGGCATTAGTTAAGAATGTGGCCCTGGCCGGTTTGGCTCACTGGATAGACCATCAGCCTGGGGACTGAAGGGTCCCAGGTTCGATTCCGGTCAAGGGCATGTACCTTGGTTGCAGGTACATCCCCAGTAGGGGGTGTGCAGGAGGCAGGTGATCGATGTTTCTCTCTCATCGATGTTTCTAACTCTGTATCCCTCTCCCTTCCTCTCTGTAAAAAAATCAATAAAATATATATATTTTTAAAAAGAATGTGGCCCTGATATGGTTGCTATATAATTGAGGAGGGTTTGTTAATACAACTATATTCTTCTAATTACTTTGTCAGGGTGATGAAGGAAAGAAAGGGAGCAAAGGAAATCAAGGACAGAGGGGATTTCCGGGACCCGAAGGGCCAAAGGTAAGGTTTTTATACTCTGACTTTTGCTTTGGGGAGCTTGTAATTGTGTCTGGTTTTAATAGAATATTAGATTTCTACTGCAAATTTGATTTCCAATTTCCTCCTCAACAAATACAACCCAAAAACTCCTAAATGAAAAAGGCTTTAGGAAATATTCTATTCCAGACCGCAATAGAATGGAATAAAGGGATTGCATAAAATATGTACTCTTCATTGGAATATTTATGCTTCTAAGAGAGAACCTGCAGTCCTCTCTACTAACAATCAAATATTCAGAAGTTGTGATAAAGTTAGGAGGTACCAATTCTCTGGCATCTTGTTTTGCTGAACAACTTACAAGGTCCTAGACTGAGAGGCAGTGCAGAGGGGATGACGAGCGGGGCTACAGAAGGCAGGAGAGTGGGATTCTTATCCTGCCCCTCCCCAGAACCTTCCGGGCCAATTGTTTCAACCACAGAAAAAAAGTAATAATAGCATCTATTTCACAGGGCTGTTGGGAAGACTAAAACCGTTAATAAAATGCTCAGCACAGTTCCTGGCACATAGTGAGAGTTCAATAATGCAGTTATTTAGAGAGAGCAAAATCAATACTGTGAAATGTGAAATAAGGAGAGACTTATTCCTGATAAACTATCCAGGACAGGAAGCTGAGGGAGAAGTAAAGGAAATTGTGAGGCAAGCAATTAGGTATGTGTTCTGACTTAGCAAGAGAGAATATTGAGATCATTTGGATGTGTCGGGAAACAGAAATGACAAACCTAAAAGAGTTCAGGCCTCTAGGAAGATGCTAATTGTAAAAAGAGATAAGGACCAGACTATTAAAGAACAACTAAAAAAAAAATGGTACTCGCATGATGAGAGCAGGTACAAAACAAAGCATCCCTCGTAGACCAGTGATTCTTTTTTTAAAAAATTTTATTATTGAGAATATTACAGATGGCTCCCACATTCTTCCCTTTGCCACCCTCCACCCATTTCCCATCCCCACACAGGCCTTCACCTGTCTATTGTTTGTGTCAATGAGCTATGCATATATGCTTATAAATTCTTTGGTTAATCTCTTCCTGCCCTCCTTCCTGCCTTCCCTGTGAGATCATCAGTCGGTTTTATGCTTCCATGTCTGTGGTCCTCTCTTGTTTGTCAATTTATTTTGTTCCTTAGAATCCACATATTAGTGAGATCATATGATTTTTGTCTTTCTCTGACTGGCTTATTTCATTTAGCATAATATTGTCCAGGTCCATCCATGTTGTCTCAAAGGGTAAGAGAGCCTTCATTTTCACAGCTGCCTATTGTTCCATTGGGCAAATGTATCACAGCTTTTTTATCCACTCATATACTGATGGGGACTTGGGCTGTTTCCAGATCTTGTCTATTGTAAGTAATGCTACTATGAACATAGGGGTGCGCATATTCTTTCTGATTGGTTTTTCCATTTTTTTAGTATATATTCCTAGAAGTGGGGTCACTGGGTCCATTTTTAATTTTTTGAGGAACCTCTACACTATTTTCCATAGTGGCTGCACCAGTCTGCATTCTCACCAGCAGTGTACTAGGGTTCCCTTTCCTCCACATCCTCACCAGCACTTGTCATTTGTTAATTTGTTGATGGTAGCCATTCTGACAAGTGTGAGGTGACACTTCATTGTCGTTTTAATTTGTATCTCTCTGATGATTAGTGATGTTGAACATTTTTTCATATGTCTGTTTGCCATCTGTATGTCCTTTTTGGAGAAATGGTTATTCAGGTGCTTTGACCATTTTTTAATTGGGTTGTCTTCCTCCTGCTGAGTTGCATGAGTTCTTTGTATATTTTGGAAATTAACCCCTTATTATTGGCAAATATGTTCTCCCATAAAATGGGCTCCCTTTACATTTTGAGGATGGTTTCTTTATATCAAACTATACTACAAAGCCACTGTAATCAAAACAGCCTTGTATTGGCACAAGAACAAGCATATAGATCAATGGAACAGAACAGAGACCCCCAAATCAACCAATGCCATTATGGTCAATTACTATTTGACAAAGAAGGCAAGAGCATACAATGGAGTAAAGATAGTTTCTTTAATAAATGGTGTTGGGAAAACTGGACAGGTACATGCTAAAAAATGAAACTAGACTGCCAATTTACACCAAACACAAGAATAAACTCAATATGCATAAAATACTTAAATGTACGTTATGAAACCATAAAAATCCTAGAAGAAAATATAGGCAGTAAAATCACAGACATCTCACATAGCAGAATATTCACTGATACATCTCCCAGGGCAAGAGAAACAAAAGAGAAAAAAGACAAATGGGACTACATCAACCTAAAAATCTTCGCACAGCAATAGACCAGTGTCCCTCAGAATCCCCCAAAGAGCTTGTTACAAATCCATATTTCTTGGCACCATGCCCAGAGATCTAAGTAGGTGAAGGGGCACCAGTAATATGATTTTCTTAAATAAGTGCCTTCTACTGCAGGTAGTTCAGGCAGCACATGATGAGAAATCCCACTTTATAAGAAATGTGTTATATTACTATTAATAACAGTGACTACTCTTTATGTCTGTTACTCTTATTCAAAGTGAATATTTTTCTGTATTTTTAAATAAAGCTCTTTTTTGATGAAGAACTGCTATATTTGAAAGCACAATCAAATCTTAATACAGGGTCTTTAAAAATGTATACCTTCTAGGAATATAATTATGTATTTAAAAGTACAGTAATTGGTCTCTTAAAAAAAAGTCGAGTAGATTAAATCTGGAAGCATAATTTTGCCCTGGTCTTAGTGAAAAATTTAACAGGTTAATGTTTTATTTCTTTGCCATAGGACTGAACTGGGTGGTTATCTGTTGCCAGAATCCTGGTGTGTCATGTGTCATTGCCTTGTAGCTTTGGAATTAAGGGTGGGCGCATACATGCATTGGCATAATCTGGGCCCCAGTAGGCCAGTGTGCTCAGCTGTCCAACATTTTAGGGACTGAGCAGGAGGCCTCAGCTGTGGCTCAGGGCAGGAGTCATTCATTACCAGTGACTCTCCCAAAGGAGGCAGGAGATCAAATGGTCAGTTCATGATCTTAGAATAGTTCATTTTTTAAGGCAGGAGGAAGCAAACTTTTTTTTCTTTTATTAAATCCTCATGGAGGATATGCTTACTGATTTTAGAGAGAAAGGTAGGGGAAGGGAGGGAGAATGCGGGGTGGGGAGAGGGAGAGGGAGAATAGGGAAGATAGGGGGAGAGAGGGAGAATCATAGATGTGAGAGAAAACATTCATTGGTTGCCTCCTATATGTGCCCCACTGGGGATCGAACCCACGACCTAGGTATGTCCTCTGACCGGGAATTGAACTCACAGTTACTATATGGGACAATGCTCCAACTACACTGGCCAGGGCAGGAGGCGGCAAATTTTTTGGTAGATGTATAGGTAGTAAATATTATAGGCTTTGCAGGCCAAGGAGAAAAATTGAATATATTATATACACTATTTTTAAACAATCATTTAAAAATGTGAAAGCCATTTTTAGCCCCTGGCTGTACAAAGCCAGATGGCAGGTGGGATTTGGCCCACAGGTTGCAGTTTGCTGCACCTGTTCTATATCAGCAGTTTCTAAACTGTTTGATTATGCATCTCTATAGTAAAAAAAATAGTGCTCATACTCCAATATAGTTTTATTTTAATTATAATTTTAATTCATAAACTATCATATTAATGTCATAGGTTTATCTAAATAATTGAAAATTTAAAAGATGAGATAAAAATATATAGTGTAGTCCTAATATTATCTTCTAATAATGCCAAATGGGTCATTTTAAACACCTTGTAGGGATTGTGCACTCTCTTTTAATGATAATTGCTTTGCATAGTGTGTTTTGGGGAGGTAATGATACCTACATCAGAATCACCAGAGGTGCCTCATAAAAATTCATATTCCTGGATCTATTGAATTCATATTCAGCCCCTAGATCTATTGAATTAAAATATTTGGGACTGATCATCAGTAGACAACCAGATAAAGAAGATGTTGAATATACATACAATGGAATATTACTCAGCCATTACAAAGAATGAAATCTCACCATTTGTGACAGCATGGATGAATGTAGAGGGTATTATGCTAAGTGAAATAAGTCAGACAGGTAAAGACAAATACCATATGATTTCACTTATATGTGAAATTTAAAAATAAAATATATAAACAAAATAGAAACAGACTCACAGATATAGAGAACTGACTGATGGTAGGTAGATGGGAGGTGGGTTGGAGGGCTAGGTGAAAATGGTGAAGGGATAAAGAAGTACAAATTGGCAGTTACCAAACAGCCACGGGGAAGTAAAGAACAGCATAGGGAATACAGTCAACAATATTGTAATAACTATGTATGGTGCCAGTTGGGTACTAAAGTTATTGGGGCAATCAGTTTATAAATTTATAAATATTTAACCACTATGCTGTACATCTCAAACTAATATAATATTGAATGTCAACTGGAGTTGGGAAAATTTTTTAAAAAATATCTCTGGGACTGAAACCCTGGATTCTATATTTTTCCAAATTCCTCTGGTGATGGGGAATTTGGTGGGACAAAGATACTGCTTGCTATTTCAAACTGAGTCTTTATTGAGACTCAATATTGAGATACCAAATATTATTGAGAAATGTTTTAATTTTTCTATTTGAAAATAATTTTTTATCATAAGCTCTCTACTTCTAAGATGGGATATGAGACAACTTACAATGGAAGACTGACATACTATGCGCAACATAACAAAATAACAAAGGAAAAAGTTATAAACTATAAGAAACATTATTCATTGACCAAGTATACCCCAAAATTTATGCTGAAGATAATTGTTATAATTGAACAAATATTTTTCTCTGACTTCCCTGGTCTATGACAAAAGGGAAGCACCATGAAGTGTATAATTTTTATTAGCTAATAAAAGCATGCACAAGAGATAAAAATTTTCCTAATACTCAGGAATTAGTTGAGTACATTTATGAAAGGCAGTGAAATCTTAATCATAAATAACTTTAGTCGTGGTTTAACAAAGATGTAAAAATATTTCACATTGGTCTGTAAAATAGACAGGTCATGCTTTTTTAAAATGCTTTGAACACATTTCTATGTTTTTCCTAATATAATTCCTGTATATAGTTTTCTTTTGCTTGAAATGTAATAAGCATTTTTCTCTGCTTTTAGGGTGAGCCAGGGGTTATGGGCCCTGTTGGGATTCCTGGAGCATCAATTCCTGGACCACCTGGACCAAAGGTATGCATTCTTGGGAATATATTTTTTTCTTTTTTCTTAGACAATTGGGAAGGAGGTGGCGGGATTCATGATACCAGTCAGTTAGAATTTTAGTTTTGGAAGAACCCAAGCTATTATGTAGTTCAACCCTGATATATCACAATTAAGCAAACTGAAGGCCAGGAGCAAATATAAGATTAGAAACCAGATTTCTGTTCCTGGTCTTGAACTTGTCACTTTACCTGGAATTACCTCCCCCAAATTCTAGACCTTAGAGCAGGTAAAAATTTACTGCATTTATTCAGAAGAATCTTCTAGGATTTATAATCAGGAAGTGTGACAGAAAAGAAATCTACTCAGATTTGAGAGCATCCCTAGACATTCTCACAGCCTAAACATTTGTGTCAAGTTAGCCACCTCTTATTTCAGTGGCCTTTCTCTAAACCAGCTTAGTAGTTTTTACTGACAGCTTTTATTTACTTAGGATATGAAATTCCTCTCCAGTATATTAGAAGAATGTTCTCTCTCAAGATCTGATAGTGGTAAATTAGGCCCTTTACAAACCACTTTTTTTTGCCCCCTGCCATTGTGGTTTCTCATGCAACCTAAAGTCTGAAACTCATTTCAAATTCATTATTTGAAATGTCCAGGGAGATAGAGGAGGACCTGGAGTGCCTGGATTTAAAGGAGAACCTGGCATTGCTATTCGAGGACCAAAGGTAGGCTTTATTTATGTTCTTTTATTTTTATTTTTTCTGTATGTGAGAGGATGAAAGTAGATTTAACGCATCATAAGTTGATGACGGAGATGGTTCTACTTCCAGGATGTTGTTGAACTCAAATATAAGAATACACTATTCCCTGTAGTAAAAAACCAACTCAACAGATCATTTATTTTTCATAAATGCAGAGGATCATTTATTTTTCCTAAGTGTCATCCATCTTTCTGAGTTATTTTAGACGAAAATGCAAATAATTATAGAAGACAGCTTTAAGTAGTCATTTCTATTTTTCCATGGCAGCAAAACCCAGAACTGCAGCAATATTTAACATTCCAAATGGCAACAAGCACATCCCTGTGTTCATACAGGCTTCAGGGCTCCACAATCAGCACTCAGTAAATGAGTAGCATGTTATGTAGCTTTGAAGCTGGCTTCAGTTCTATCAAAGTGTCTCTTTTAGACAAAAGGTTCAAGTACTAACATCAGTGATCTTCAAACTTCAAAAAAAAAATGTGTGTGTGTGTGTGTGTGTGTGTGTGTTGTCTCTTCTAGACAAAAGGGTTCAAGTACTAACATCAGTGATTTTCAAACTTCAAAAAAAAAGTGTGTGTGTATGTGTGTGTGTGTGTGTGTAATTTCAGAGAGGAAGGGAGTGGGAGAGAGAGATAGAAACATCAATGATAAGAATAATTGATCGGCTGCCTCCTGACTGGGAATCGAACCATAACCTCCTGGATCATAGGTTGATATTCAACTACTGAACCACACTGGCTGGGCCAAGAAAACAAAACTTAGAACCATCTTTGAAATATAATGCAAAACCTATTATATACTGATATAAATTGTAGGGGTTCTTTCTGAAGGTCAAGGAGGATCCTGGCATCATTTTTCTTAATCACGTTAGCAGTCATCCTTGCTAGGGTGACAATCTTCTGGTTTATTGGGGACAGAGGAGGTTCCAGGGATGTGGAAGGTTCAAGCTGAAACAGAGAGTCCCAGACAAACCAGAACAAGATGATAACCTTACTTCCCAGACTTTGAGGCACATGGGAACCCAAGTTATGTACAACTCCAGGAGAAAATCCAAATTTCATAATTAAAACTATAGATACAACCTTGATCAAGAACATTTGGGTGATCATTTTTATACTCTTTGATAACTTCCTGGACCTGTGTATTCCTAGGTTTATGATTTATAGTTGCTTCTCTCTACTTATTTCTTACCATAGAAATGAAGTCCAATTAAATATGCAGCTAGGGTTTATAAGCCCCACCTTATTTTCTACTGATGATCATTGGACATTATTGGTGCTAGTATTTTTGGTGCTAGTAAAGTTATTGCCTCCTCACTCCAAGCATTTTCAAGTCCCTTGTCCTCTAAAGATGCTTTTTCTGTCCTTCTTCCCTAATACATGGGTCTTTAAGCATTTGGGGGGTTAAATGCCTGATGGAAATTTTGTCACATTAATTCAGTTTTTGTGTATTACTTCAGAGAACTCCCAGATCCCCCCGCCCCCAAAAGCCCATTTTAAAACATCAGATTAAGATTTCTGCCCTGATTTATGTTGAATGAGAGACACTTCAAATTGAATCACTTTGCACGACATTTTCTTGAATCCAGTGCCAAGAGGCCAAGTGGCAATATTCCATTGAAAAGTTTGTTGTGATGAGTCCAAAATAAAAACCTGAGAAGGAGCACTTCTCTTCTCCCCATCTCCTGATATTCCTGTGAACATTAGAAGTAACAAGCTAACTAAAATGTTTGCAGAAGAGAAGATAAAGTTCTCTAGGAAAAAAAATGTTTGTAAACTGTTAATGTTTTAACGTCCCCCCACCCCCCAGTGTGGGTGCCAGAGGCTAAATGACAACAGCTGCTGACAATTTGTTATAGGCTTGGCATGTCTAAAGAAAAACTGAAAGCGAATTCTCATTCCAATTTTCTTTCAACTTAACCAGGGAGCAGTTATTGCTTTTTGTTGTGGGCCTGCTCCTTGTGTAAGCATGGAGAGAAACAGACATCTTATTTTGGGACATATTCCATGTGGATGCTTAAAGCTTTAACCTTAATTTAAACACAGTTGGAATAGCATAATAGATTGCTTCTGAGAAGTGACCAGTTTCCTGTAGTTGGAGATACACCAAAGCTCACCTCTCCAGAGACCCTGCTCTTGCTCTCTGTCATACAGCTGTATGCAGTCATCTCGGATTTCTGTGGATGAAAAATAGTAAATTCAGTTTTAATAAGTGACCACATGTGTTCTGAACATGATCATTCTTAAGAAGGTTAATCATGTAAAACCAGTCTCTTAGATTTAATAGGAAAAAAACAGTTATTGCATGAGTGGGGGGTGGAGGGCAATGGGGGGATAAGGACACATATGTAATACCTTAATCAATAAAAAAACATAAAAACAGTTGTTGCATTCATGGTTTTCAAAACACTTTTAACTTTCTATAGAGCACTCGGTAATGGTTCATATATATTATTTCCTACATGCATTCCATGATTCCCACCACATAAAAGGAGTAAGACTTATGAAGAGATAATGAGTTACCATATGTGATAGGATTTCCTTCTAAACATATCCAAATCATTCCTTTTGCACATATCAAATCTACTTCTGACATATTGAGTTGGTAGTGTGCTCACGTTTTACCAGGTGTCCCACAGTTTAGTCTTATGATATCACCTGGTGTTGGGATTTATCCAGGGTGCCCAAGGCCCGCGAGGACCAGTGGGTGCTCCAGGACTCAAAGGCGATGGCTATCCTGGTGTGGCTGTAAGTTTGGGCATTGCTTTTATCTCTTTCCTTCTTCCCTGCCTTCCCTCCCTTTCTCCTTGTTTCCTTCTTCTTGCCCTCCCTTCATCATTCCTTTCTCTCTCTCCCCCTTTTTGCCTCCATCTGCCCTCCCCTTCCCTTCCTTCTTTCTTTCTTCCTTCTCCTCCTCCCTCCCTCTTTTTCTTTTCTTCTTTTCTTTTCTTTTTTTCTTCTCTTTTCTTTTCTTCTTTCTTCCTTTTCTTCTTTCTTCCTTTTCTTCTTTCTTCCTTTTCTTCTTTCTTTCTTTCTTTCTTCTTTCCTTTTCTTCTTTCTTCCTTTTCTTCTTTCTTCCTTTTCTTCTTTCTTCCTTTTCTTCTTTCTTCCTTTTCTTCTTTCTTCCTTTTCTTCTTTCTTCCTTTTCTTCTTTCTTCCTTTTCTTCTTTCTTCCTTTTCTTCTTTCTTCCTTTTCTTCTTTCTTCCTTTTCTTCTTTCTTCCTTTTCTTCTTTCTTCCTTTTCTTCTTTCTTCCTTTTCTTCTTTCTTCCTTTTCTTCTTTCTTCCTTTTCTTCTTTCTTCCTTTTCTTCTTTCTTCCTTTTCTTCTTTCTTCCTTTTCTTCTTTCTTCCTTTTCTTCTTTCTTCCTTTTCTTCTTTCTTCCTTTTCTTCTTTCTTCCTTTTCTTCTTTCTTCCTTTTCTTCTTTCTTCCTTTTCTTCTTTCTTCCTTTTCTTCTTTCTTCCTTTTCTTCTTTCTTCCTTTTCTTCTTTCTTCCTTTTCTTCTTTCTTCCTTTTCTTCTTTCTTCCTTTTCTTCTTTCTTCCTTTTCTTCTTTCTTCCTTTTCTTCTTTCTTCCTTTTCTTCTTTCTTCCTTTTCTTCTTTCTTCCTTTTCTTCTTTCTTCCTTTTCTTCTTTCTTCCTTTTCTTCTTTCTTCCTTTTCTTCTTTCTTCCTTTTCTTCTTTCTTCCTTTTCTTCTTTCTTCCTTTTCTTCTTTCTTCCTTTTCTTCTTTCTTCCTTTTCTTCTTTCTTCCTTTTCTTCTTTCTTCCTTTTCTTCTTTCTTCCTTTTCTTCTTTCTTCCTTTTCTTCTTTCTTCCTTTTCTTCTTTCTTCCTTTTCTTCTTTCTTCCTTTTCTTCTTTCTTTCTTTCTTTCTTTCTTTCTTTCTTTCTTTCTTTCTTTCTTTCTTTCTTTCATTCATTCTTCTTTCAAATACTGCAAACAAAGTTGCTCACTCTCTCCCTTATCATGCCATCTAGGGACCTCGAGGATTACCAGGACCTCCGGGACCAATGGGTTTACGTGGAGTGGGGGACACTGGAGCAAAGGTGAGATTTTAAAGTAGGTAACATGGTAGCTTCTAGAGGGACATGATTTTGGTATTTTTTTAAATCAGGCATGATAGAAGAGTAGGGGTATCTAAAGAATTGATAAAGTTATTAATCCTCATCCATGGACTTCCTGGGGACCTTGCACTAATTTGAACAGGTAGCTTAACATTATGGTTTTTCTCTTGCTTTCCTTGTGACAATCCTCACGTCCCTTTGCTTTGTCTTCCTGCACCGAGATCAGTCGGTCCAGAGCCCTCTTCGCTTTCCTAGGTGCCCTCATCCAGTTCCATGGCTTTAACCACTAGCCACGTGCCAATGGCATCCCAATTTCTATTTTCCCTGCTCTAAGCTCTGGTCTCACACCTCTGGTTTCTTCCACACAGCTCCTCTCAGATTTCTCAGTCTCTCCAACCTGACATCCAAATAGAACCTTTGCTTTTCACCTCGTAAGGTTGTAAATGGCACTCCCATGCACCCCACGCTGATGTGATGACACCTGAGTCGTTCTTGGTCCCTTCTTTTCCCCCTCCTTCCTCCACGTCGAGCCCCATGGTAAATCCTGTCAGTCCTACCTTCAAAACATATCTCGACTCTGGCTGGTTTTCTCCTGCTGCTTCCACCCGGGAAGACTGCCTGGGCTATTAAAATAGCCTCTTCACTGGTCTTCCCTCTTTACCTCTGGCCTTCTATTACCTAGTGGGCAGAGGGCTCTTTTACAACCGTAAATCAGATCCTATCTCTTTCCTTCTCAAAAAACACTCTGGTGGCTTCTCTTTGTGCTAAGAACAAGCTCCAGCCACTTTCCATGGCCTATGAGGCCCTTCACGACCTGACCGCAGCTCCTGCCCCTTCCTCTCTTGCTGCCAATGCCCCCCCCCCGCCCCCACCCCAAGCCACACTACACACTGCTTCAGGCCATCCCTGCTTCCAGGCCTTGGTTCTGTCAGGATGGTTCACCTCCCTCACTACCCATTCAAAAGCAATCATCTTTCTCTCCCCTCTCTTCCTCCCTCCCTCCTCATCACTATAATATCCCTTTGTGTATTTCCTACATAGCAGGTATCACTTTCTGAAATCACCTTGCTCATTGCCTGCCTTGCATACTCCATAAGAGTAAGTTTTCTGAATGCAAGCTCTTGGTTTTGTTCCCTGCTAAATTCCCCGCCCCAGAACTAGGTGTGCCACCCAATAGGAGCTTTATAACATGTTGAATGAATGGAAAATGAATGAATGATCAATATTACCCCAAAGAGAGCATTTTTCCTTAGAATACACCAACTCAGTATTTTTTTTTTTTTAGTTGTGATACCAGTTTATTCCTGGGAGGATGTCCGGGCAGCATCCACTTACTCTGCCACCATTTTTAATCTCCTTAAAATCATTTTTCTTGAAATATTAATGTTTATTATTATATTTAAAATAGTTTTTCTTGAAAACAACTCAGTTTTTTTTAATGCGTCCAGGTCATGAGGGAGAGATGTTGTAAGTGCTCAATGTCAACGTTTTGCCTTTTTTTTTTTTTGGTCTCTGCCCCATCACTTAGGAGTGACCACACCTTGAGACTGCTTCTGTGTGAGGAATGAGGCAGGCGTTCTCTGTCCTCTCCCGGTAGAATGAGAGATTGAACACCCATGGCACTAAGTATCCTGTCCCAAGGAGATCTGTCCGTCAGGGTGATCATGAGAGTCCAGGAGAGGCTTGTCTGAAAGTGCCTGTTAGACTGTGCAGAGCAGACACCCCCAGGTGCTTTGATCAGGATCTGGCTTGTTCAGACTAAGGACTGACTCTGATCCTCTACACACCTCGGCAGTGCAGGGACCTTACTGAGTTTAGGTATTGTAGTATTTTTTTTTCTTTAAGGCAAAGTATCTGTCAAATGCTAAAATGTAAACATAGAAAGAGAAAAGAATTTTTTTGTTTTTATACCACATATTCCTTTAGTTAGAAAAATAGAAGCTTATTCCTATTTATAGTGAGGCATGAGATAAAATCTGTTAAATATATACTGGAATGTATTTGTATTCCAATGGAATTGTATGATCATTTACATTTCCAGAGTAGATTATTGTAAAGATTTTATGTAAGTATATATTGATTATGTTAACTATGCTATTACATTACTATCTTACTGTGAGCAATAATAATTAGGCACAGATAGAGAACATTTAAAAATTTGATTCCTGTGAATGTTCACTGTCAGATTATTTAACATGTAGACTAAAACATTTACTAAATGATTTCATATACGGCTTTTCTCTAAGTCCCTTGTATTTATTTCCATTTACATTTCAAGGGTGGAAAATCAAGGAAAACACTGTTCTTTCTAAATTTTATCCTGCCTATTTTTTGTAACAGTCAACATGTTGCCAGAAGCTGTATCTTAAGTGAAATAGTATCTCTGTGAGCCCACAAGGGGGGCTGAGTGGAAGCAGCAGCCTATAGCTCACTTCCAGCTGAAGGGAGAAGAGAGCATCAGCCAGGACCTGCCTCTCTCCGCCCACCTCCCTCTCTGCTGCCTTTTCCTTCTCTCTGCTGCCTGTTTCTGTCGATGTGGGGGAAATTAAGTTATCCTGGCAAACTAGCCCTGGAGGGCCATGTCAGGAGCGTGAGCTAGTCTTAGAATCCAAGGACTTGGATCAATCATTTGAAAATACAGGAAATTTTAAAGGCAAACATCAGCTTTTCATAACTTTCAAAACCATCTCTCCTCTTTTAAAGAAGCCTTCACATCTCTATGTGGCCTTTTCTCTTTTTTTCTAAAGAAAACTTGGATGCATGCGCACGCACACACGAACAGAAGCTGGGGTGTGGGCATGAGTGGGGGGATAGGGGGTAACATGGGGATAAGGACACATATGTAATAACTTAATCAATAAAAAAATAAAAACAAAAAAAGAAATAAAAATGTAAAGAAAAGCAAGAGAAAAAAAAGAAAAGAAAGGAAAATATTCAGAGAAGTCTAATTCCCATTTAACTTTGTCCTTCTGGGTTGGCAGAGTGAAGGTGAAACTCTCAAACTACTTAGAGTTGTTAGTGGTAGCAGAAGTACAGGACTTAAGTGTGTGCAAAATTTCTCTCCTTCCATTTTGACTTTTAAAACGGCAGAGAAATCATATTATGTGTGTGTAGTTGTATAGACATATATAGCTGATATGTTTTTCATTAAAACTCTGTGTAGTCACCTTAAAGTACTGGCCTTAGGGCATTAACTTATAAAACAAATGTGTTTGGAAATGAGGAAACCATTAAGGTTGACTATTAATTTATGGTGGGCTTTTGTGATATTTGGTTAAGGTCACACATGTTTAGCATATGACACAGACATTTGAATCAAAGCTTCTATGTTTCAAAACATATAAAAGCCAGGCCCTGACTTCTTGCACCCTTGTGGTGCTCCAGGGCAAATTCCTTATGACATCAGTGGCTATAGCACTTCTATATACATTACCTTGAATTTAATCCAAGTTTTGACAAGGGCTTCTGAGAGATTTCTAAAATTCTTGTAAAAATTACAATTTCAAGGTAAAAGCAGATATAGTTTTAAAATCCATGTTGGAAACATGCCCTGAAGAGGAACAGACAATTGGTTTCTTGCTAAGTGGGATGCACTCATCCAGTGCCCTGACTCCTGGACTCACATTCCCTGCTCCTCTATGGGGAAGTCAAGTTCAAAGATCCTATGTAACACTGCCTGCATTTCTGTACTGGACCCTAGAGACTAGAAGGACCCTTTGTGATTTGGGGACAATCATTATGTAAATCTCATTTCCCTTTGAGAAACTCAGATAACTCCCCCTCCCCGTATTTTCACCCCCAAAGACTATTGAGATGCATATTGTCCCAGGGTGATCACTGACATCTCTGAGGGTAAGAGTTTGTTCTTGGCCTCTTAGAAGAGGAATGAGTGCAAGGACTGGCTCTCCAGAGCTCCATAAAGGCAGGTGCATCCCCCCATGTCCCTCTCTGAGCTCTTTCAGCCCCTTCAGTGTGCTAGTTCCTCACAGAGGAAGCATGGTCCAAAGCTCTGGGGGTGCTGAGCTCAGGCCAGTTCTTGCACAGAGCAGATCAAACCTGGCATTGGGGGCCCTCAAGGGACCTCTTGCCCATCGAGTGGTTGGAATAAGGTCTGTGGGCAGAAAGACTTGTTGGGTTGTTGTTATTATTACTGTACATTACCTAAATATTATATATTAATACTATCTAAATATTTCCAGAATATTGTGACATTTTTAAACAACCCACTTATTTTATAGATGAGGAAATCAAGAACTATAAAGACTGAACAATTTTCCCCTTTGTAACATAAACAGTTTTGATACTACATTGTGTTTGTGTATGAGAGGGACACTGAATATGAATGAATGGGTGAAAGACTAAATGGATGAAGAAATCAGAGCAGAAAGAATGGCTTGGCCTGATCTATAGGTGCTCAGTCCCCAGAGCTGTCCATCTTCTGACTATCACGGCACCATGTAGTGTTCAGTTGGATTGTTTCTCTTTCCAGTCTAGCTTTTCCATCGTCATGACTTAAATGATGAAAACATTAAAGGGAAGCATAAACCTAAACCCCAAAGAGTTAAACATTTTTCAAAAGCTTTAAATGTTTAACTATTGTAAATGCATGCTTTATTTGACAAAAGTGGCCCATAGTCATAAATTAAAATGCAAGTCTATGTGAAATTCCACTGAGTACCATTATTCTAAAAATGTTCCCAGCATCTGAATCGCTCCTCTGTTCTCTGCAATGGCTCACATATGTGCATACCACCAACAGGCAGTGGCGGAACAGAGAAGCGATTCACACAGAGCTGCATTCGGAATTTGTAGATTCCATCGGCAGACATGGAGTGGACAAGGAACTCCATTTTGAACAGTGTCTGACAAGGAGGGCTGGCCTAGGACACAGACTTCATGATAATGAAGTTAAGGGTCCACGATTCCAAATTGGAGTCGAAGAAACCCACCTCCCAGAACTTGACTGCAAAATTGCTACAGGC